TCATTTGCCTTGTGAATCACAAAGGGTTAATTTATTCCTAAATCACAATTCAGAATGCCTCATTTAGCCAAAGACCTCTGTCATTAAAAAGAGAATCATACAGATGTATGATGTATTTGTACAAAGATCTTAATCTTTGCTGCCATCAGCTCTGGTGCTACCCCAATTAATAACCAAATTAATGTCAACGCCGGTACCCAATCCCCCACAGGGAATGGGGATGCCGTTTCCTTTCGGCCGTGCACCAGGTCTCATCCAGCAGGAGGGAGAGCTGCGTGCGTTTTCCCGGGGCCGTGCCGCCCGTCTCCCACCTCGGCGCGGCGGGAGCAGCCGGAGGAAGCGGCTGTGTGGGCTCAGCCTCCCCCGCGCAGCAGAGCAGCTCCTGCCCTGCTCAATCCCATGCCCGCTGCACCGCCTGGGGATGCTCCATCGGACACAGGGGCCCGGCCGCGCACCCCGCTCGCTCCGAGCCCCGAACCAGCCGCGGCCGAGCCCTCCAGCAGCCCGGGCCGAGCCGGGGCACCGCGGGCTGTCAAATGGCCGCGGCATCGCATTGCCCGATGCGCCTTCTGCGTTCTCCCCAAAAAAAGAACAGGGCCGTCCTCAAAACGACGCTCCCTGTCGAACAGCTGACCAAAAATAAAAAGTACAAACAAAACTTAATGGAGCGCGAAGCCTCATATGACAAGGAAAATTCCCGCTCCAGTTCTGATCTCTGTTTACAACGTTGAAAGTGGGTCAAACTGGTCTGCGATGGAGGAATCTGTTTGGAAAATGATCTCTGAGAGGAAAAGCATCTAAGCGGCAGACAACTGCACTGCAATGCTTCCACGGGGATCCCTTCCCTGCCATCAGAGTAATTCAGTTTTACCACACAAGGCTGAAACCCTCTAACTTGAAATTATGGCTTTTTTATTCAAATTACTTAAATTCAGCAATTCCCTATCTTCTGGAGCAAATCAACTAACCATGTTTCAGCATAGATCTCCATGCTTTAAAAAACTAAGACAGCTGGGTTTGGACAGGGTGGGGGAAGCTGTTCTCGGTTTTGTTGATTTTGCATTGTTTTTTTTTAATAATTGCCCTCACTTTTGTTCATTTCCTGTGTTCAGGACAAGGTTATTGTGCAGTACCATCACACTGCCTGACCCAACTATTTTGTTTTACCCTGTCATGGTCTCTTTAAAAATGCAAAGGAATGATTATGACATTAAATGGGAGCCCAAAAAAAGGAACAGTCTGTAACAACATTACTTTTCAAGGTATTTTCATACTGACTTAGAGAAATCTAGTCAATTTAATATCTGTCCTTTCCTGTTCAAGATATGTAATGTAAACAAATTCAGCCAAAACTTCCTGGCAAGAAGCTCTGTAGGTTGCTCTGTGCAATGCTGGTATACAAATACACAGCAATCTAAAGAAAGAATATACTAACCAGCCTTGAAACCCACTAATTTGTTTTATCGACTTATGAAAATTCTGTTCTTTGACCTTCAAGTGCTTGATTCCTTTTATGGTCGCACAATGTTTATTTATTAAAAATCTCCTCCTAATTACTCTCAGGGTACCCAGAGGCTTTAAAAAGCACAAAATGCCAAATAATGTATTACTACATTCCTGCATATATTGAATCCTCTTTCTAATCTGTTTTTGAAAGAAAGAAATACATTTATAACATTTTCTAGAAAACATCTTTAAAAGCACCCCAAGCTGATAAACATTCCTTCATATTTATATTTTGTAATTTTTTTAATGTTCTCTTTGGTTTTAGTTACTATTTTGTATTTACAGAAAAATGAGCTCTGTAAGTCTTCAAAGTGTCTGCTGATGTCAGATATTTATAGAAAGCTATGATCTCAAATGATTTTAAGGACTGGATCAGTCTACATCTGTGGGACATCCTTGTATCTTTTAAACTTCAAAAATGTCCAGTTTAAACTAGAGACTTTCAGGGCAAATAAGGAATAAAAAGGCTCACATTTTAAATGCACTCAGTATAAAAAAAGTAACAAAAAGTAGTAGCCAAAAAGACTTGGAAAAAATACCATGGCACAGTACAGGATGTAAATTTTATATCTGTTTACCAACAAACGAAGAAAGAGAATAAAGTAACACGGAAACCGCTCAGACATAACATAGATGAGAACATGAAAGAGGAATGGACTATAACTTCTGAGTCTACAGAAAAAGAATATTTACAAAGTTAGATGGAAAAATGAGTTTGAGAGACATCTCAATTAGAAAGTGCTTTGTCAATGTCCCATGAAAATAAGAACAGTTACCCTCACAAAACCGAAGATCCCCCTAAAAAAAAAATTTTAAAGCGCTATTTCTCCCCAGACTTACAACTAACAGGGATGGACATCCAGGGCCAGCAGGGATGTCCAGGGCAGCCCCCTGTCCCAGCCCTGCAGGACGCGGGGCGAGCTCAGGGCTGGGCGGCTGCGAGGCGCCAGCGTTCCTCTGGCCCCGCTGCCATCCCACACTGCTGCCATCCCAGCCCTGCTGCCATCCCACACTGCTGCCATCCCAGCCCTGCTGCCATCCCACACTGCTGCCATCCCAGCCCTGCTGCCATCCCACACTGCTGCCATCCCAGCCCTGCTGCCATCCCAGCCCTGCTGCCATCCCACACTGCTGCCATCCCAGCCCCGCTGCCATCCCAGCCTGCTGCCATCCCACACTGCTGCCATCCCAGCCCCACTGCCATCCCAGCCCTGCTGCCATCCCAGCCCCGCTGCCATCCCAGCCCTGCTGCCATCCCACACTGCTGCCATCCCAGCCCTGCTGCCATCCCAGCCCCGCTGCCATCCCAGCCCCGCTGCCCTCCCAGCCCACTGCAAACCCCGCACTGCTGCCATCCCAGCCCTGCTGCCATCCCAGCCTGCTGCAAACCCTGCGCTGCTGCCCTCCCAGCCCCACTGCCCTCCCAGCCCCGCTGCAAACCCCGCACTGCTGCACCGTGAGTCCCACTGACAGCTCCTTTCACACCCAGGCTGGTGTCCCTGCTGGCTGTGGGCAGCTGTGCGCCTCTGCCAACCCTCCTCTGCATATGGGTGCTGTGAAGGGACCCCCACCCGAACATGAGGAGTGTTTGGTCCTCTGAGATGAAAAGAGAGCCCTTCATTCAATAACCGAGCTGTCCCAAACTGTACTGTAACAGAGAAGCACACTAAGTTGGGAAACACTCTTTTAACACTTATTTCTGTTATGCTCTTTTGTTTATTTTGTTTTTTGGTAGAGGCTCTTTCCCAGATTGAGTGCAGGACCCCGTTTTACTAGGCTTGACATCTACACAAAGGGGAAAGACCTTTCCTGCCCTAAAGCTCAGAACCCAAAGCCCAAGAGGTGCTCAGGGAGCGTGCCTGGAGCAGCAGCGTGGGAAAGGCTGCCAAAACCCTCCTCGGGCTTGGTGCCACCAGGCAAAAGAGCCTGGGGACAGGGAGGCACGGGCGGAGCCTGTCAGAGCCAGTGGATAGTTGGGCGGAGGAGCCCCCACTTACCCCCAGCCCCACGTCACACGTGTCACCCCGGACGGCAGAACAGGACATTTACCTGCTCTGGAGCCACACTCCGCAGCCCAGTGCACTGGACAGCAGTTTGCACCTCATGTACCACCTCCACAAAACTACAGTCCCTTGGGAGCAGCGACATCCTCTTCAGCTGCCTGAACAGCCACTTAGGGGGAAATGGTGGTGGGGAAAGCTGGCAGAGGTTTCAGCTGTCCCAGGTAGCCCCATGGCCACCACGGTGGTCCCTGAGTTACCCACACACTCACTGACACACTGTGCCTGCTCTCATCACTTCCATCACCCGCCAAGAGCACTGTGGGCTCCTGTGGGGTTTCCATATCCCCACGCAACCTCCCAATGTACCTGCGGATTTGGGAGGCAGGAATGATCTACTACATCTGCAGAATGGGACTCCAGTCCAGAGCCAAGACCTCCACGCTACAGCACAACACAAAACAGTAACAACCCCAGGGAGTGGGAAACTGAAGAACCGAGGGGGACAGCTCAGTCCAGGGTCCTACTGAGCTCAAGGCACTGGTTACAACTTTGTGGGTCTGAGAACTACTTGAAATAGAGCCACAAAAGGTAACAAAAGCCCACTGTCAGCAGGCTCCAATGATTGGAGTACTCTGCCAGCTGCAAAAGGTGAAAAATACCGTTTTATTTTCAAGCAAGGAGTCATCCCATCATCATAACAGATGACCTTCATCAATCTTCTCTTCACTACCTTAGACTGGCACACGAGGAAAGTTTTTTGCAGATACGGGGATCTCCTGTGTGCACTACGTTATTGAACGTCAGGTGAGACAACGGAACTGTCCCAAGTTTGGAGGCACAACCAAACCCCTCTCCCTCTGGCTGAGCTACGACAGGAATTACGTACGTACACAGAACACATAAAAGTTACCTGACAGAGTACATTTTCTTCAAACACAACGCAAACTAGGGCTGTAACCCGTTTTGTCAGCCCCCCCAAAAAACGATGAGATTTTTTTCCACAGGCTACCGAACAGTAAAAGGACCCAAACAACGCTAAAACAGCCTTCAAGAAAACTAAGCATCAAACGCTAAAATGTCCTTCAGAGGCTGGAAGGGATGAGCTGAATCACCTCCCCAGCGAGGTGAGGCACCGGCTGTTCCAGCAGTTGCGTAGATAACTTTGCAGCCGGCTCGTGGCACGCAAGGAAGGGTCCACAGCGCACCCCCAAAATGAGCGCATCTCCCGCGCACAGCCAGGACTCCGCTTTGGCGAGCGGAGCGTTTGTCCAGCACTCGCACAACAGTGGCCCCTCAGGGGGGAAGCCCCTCCAGCCCGGCCGCCGCTCCCCGCACTCCCCGGCCCCGAGGGGGACCGGCCCCGCTCCGCCCCCCGCCGCCCTCTCCGGGCCCGGGGTCCCCCCTCCGGCGCGGGGGGCGGCGCGGGCGGGGCCGGGGGCGGCGGGCCCGGCCGCACAAAGGGCGGCGGGGCGGGGGCCGCCGGGCACTTACTTTGTCTATGGTGCCCGGGAGCAGGCGGTCGAGCAGGCGGCACAGCACCACGCCGTCCTTCAGGGAGGACTGAAGGAAGCCCTCGGGGTCGGAGATGGTCTTTTTGGGCGACTCCAGCACGCCCAGGGCGATCAGCCACGTAACGGTCTGCTCCGCCGAATTCATGGCGATGGCGGCGGCGGGCGGGGGTCGCGGCGCCCCGCGCCTCGCGTGGGTTTTGTGTCTCCCCCGGCGGGGGCTTCAGGCGGAGGCCGGCGGCGCCGCCCCCATGTGAATGCAGATGACGACGCCCCGGCCCCGCCGCTACAGACACATGCAGCTGCAGTGCCGCCTCCTCCCCGCCCCCCCCCGCCGCCGCCGCCGCCGCCGCCGCCGCCGCCGCCGCCGCCGCCGCCCCATGACATCACTGGCAGCGGCGGCGGGCGGGGGCCGCGCGCCCGCGGAGACCCGCGCACCGCTCCGCGCCCGCTGCGCGCTCCCAGGGGCGGCCGGCGCGCGCCCCCTGGCGGGCGGTCTGCGCCTCCGCGGGCGCGCAGCGGGGCGGGCGCGGGAGCGGGAGCCGCGGGCGCCGCCGGCCGCGGGGAAAAGTTGCGGGATACCCGGATACCCCGGGCCCTCGTTTGCTCCTCGGACGGCGCCGTCCCGCAGAGAACGAGCCCCTACAAAGCCTTCGGCGCCAGGCTCGGGCAGACCGGTTTTGGACCATCTACCTCTGGGAGCACCGGCAGCGGGTTCCGGCCCGACCGGCCGCACCAACGCCATCTCTGCCTTTGCCCGCCGTTCCCTTGAGCACGGAAACGCGTTCGGGAACCCCGGCCCAGCGGGCGGGTCGCGGGCTCGCCCCGGTGCGCGCCATCCCCGCCGAGCGCCTGCCGGGATGCTCCGTGCCCGGAGCGCCTCCCGCCTGCTCCCACCCCGATGGGCTGCGGCACCGCCTGGAAGCCAGCGCCAATACTCAGTACTGCGAAGGCTAACCTGAAACAGAGCCTTCCTGTGCCTTTTATTCTGACAAAAACCATTCCTCAAGGCTTTCCTTGGACAGGGCACTATGAGCAATCAGTATTTTTTTGTTAGGAGCTGGCTGGTGTGGGCTCCCAGGGTCCCTCTGTTGCCATCAGCCTCCCTTGATGCTGCACACACGCCAGAAGAGGCGATACCACCACAGCCCCTGCTCTCCCTTCTCGCCCCATCTGACCCCCTCGAGGGGCAAAACGCCTCCAAGGCAGAGGTAGAGGGAATAATGCCAACCCAAACTCATCCTTGCTGTTCTGCTTCCAGCCTGGTGCACTGCATCCACCACCATCACAGTCCCTGAGCAGCAGCTCTGGTAGGTTCTTCTGACCCAGAATCTCCTCCCAAACCACTAGCCAGCCCAGAAAGACAGAAGTGCATTTCAATTTGATACAAGATAATCTAATATCAACACTCAATCTCCTTCTAACCCAAAATAGGTTCAGATTTTCTTAAATTCTAACACTTCAGGTAGATGTCTCTTCCAAAATTTGTTTTTCCTTTTGCTCTTTGTTTTTTGGTCGAGGTGAGAGCAGCACACTGGCCTCTGCCAGTATTAACGCCCGCCTGGACTCAAGCAGGATGAGAGAAACAAGCACAATGCACATAGCAATGGTCAGAAGGCATTTATTACCTCAGCACCCCCAGTAGCTTCCCAAGCAAGGTGAGCAGCAAGTGGGGCCATCCCTGGCACTGGTCCCTGGTAGAAAACAATGGGCACGAGTTTATGAAGCTTTTCATGTGAGAGATGTGATGGGTACATGAACAAGGTGAAAAGTGCATGGCTGCTTACAGCAGAGAGCATGATGTGGGAAAACCCATCCAAAGGCGATGGAAGTAACAACATATTACAACACAGAACAGTGATTTTAACAAAGCAGAAAGGGTTTCATTATAAGCAATATCTGGGTTGTCACTGACTGACATCCATGACCTATCTCCTCACCATTCTTCTGCTCTCAACTGTGCACCCTTCCATATTTATTTTCAGCAACAGCTTCTGAATCCAATGATTTGCCAGCTATGAAGAACACAAACATGGCAATTCTTTGCCATTGGAAAGATTGGATGCATTGCCAGGAGACTTCTAACAGAAGCTTGACACAGGTCAGGAAACCATTTCCAGATCTTAAAAGGAAAAAAATTGAAGTGTCCAAAAGATTTAGGAGCATGCCACTCCCTTCTTGGCTTCCTTTCTTGTCAGACTTTCCCCTACAAGGTATTTACTGCAAAGCACCTGAACTCTCTGCACAGCTCCCTTGTTTTATTCTTTCCTCCTGCATGTCCCAGTACTGTCCATTTATACTACAGCCTTGTAGGACAGACAGATATTTTGCATCTGCACTGTCTGGCAAGTGGAGCCCATGCCATGGTGGGAGTTTTGAAGTAGCACAAACAATGAAACATACAATTATTGCAAGTCTGCACTCCTTCTTTATTTCACAATTAAAGATGTTCTGATTCTCTTATGTCCTGACTCAGGTCCCACTGTTGCTTCTAAATCATAAACTCCTGACATCTTTATTCAAGCATCCATTTTGATAGTATTTAAATAATCTAAATTCTTTCTGAAGTTGTCATAGAGGGATGATTTTAACAAATTTTTTTTCTGCAAAACATTTTAAATTTATGCAAAGCTGAAAAAGTAATTTTGGTACTGGCTCTTATAAACAAAAGACATATATGAGCCTGTATGTAGGTTCAGGTAACTTCCAGGCCTTAAATCTGTTCACAGAAGCAAAAAGATTCTTATATTTTGGGGGGGGAGGAGAGAGGTGTCTCAGTTTAATAAAATCTGGACCTCTTTTGAACAAGAAATAAATAAATGTTCTCTGAAATACATCAGGCAACTTTGGCAGAGGTCTAGTAGATTTAACAGCTCATAATTTTGTATAAATAAAGATTAAGCAATTGACAATTTATTTGGTCTTTTCCAAGCTTTTGTCATATTCTTATAAGAAGTTACTAAGGAAACCAGGTAGGCATGAGGTAGAAGGTAAATTTCTGTCACGGATTAGTGAGTGGTTGAAAGACAAAACAGCAGGAATAAATTGCCAGTTTGCAATTTGACCAAAAAGTTGTCAGTAGAGATCTTCCTCTATTCTGTCGTATGAATTAACTGAAAGTCTCCAAAAAATTATTATACTTGTGTGGATTTTATTTATTCTTTTAGCCTGAGCAGTTGGTTTTGGAGAAAGGAGAACAGGAGAGGAAGGAAAGAGCAGGTGAAGAAAGCTACTCTGTCATTTTGGCCTTCCATTTGCCGTTTTCCATTTTCAGCTGCTTTTGCCTTGTCTACCTGCCCCTGGGCAGCAATGACATGCTTTGGCCAGATACACAAATCTCTGTTTTCCCTGTGCCAGGCCAAGGTCAGGATTTCAATGTGGAGGTAACTAATTAATTATCAGTCCAGCTTGAACAGAAATTGCCTTGACAATCTGTAATTAGCTATATAGGGGTCATACTGGATCAATTGCTGTGCTGGGCTTCCCATGCTATACGTAATTATCTCTGCAATCCTAGCCTAGGGAGGTTTACATCTCTCTGTAGTAAAAGCCTCACCCCAACAAAGCACACTTCTGTGTTAAACTCAGAGATGCATTTCCATGCCATTTAAACCTACCTTTCAAAAGAATCTTGAGGCTTATGGAGGAGCTGGTTTTTTGCAGTTCCTGAAAACAGCTATCATGAGTTCAGCGTCACCAGCTCTCTGCTGTTGATTGACTACCCGTCAGCTGAAGGGGTCAGTTGAAACCCATGCACCAAAGATTGTGTTGGTGAATTTGGGATGGCAGCTCAATGAGCTGGGTGGTACTGGCACAAGCCTCAATGAATTTAAAAAAAACCAAAACAACAAAAAACACAATAGAGAGCAAATTATTTCATTATCTTCCAAGTTGCAAAGTACTTTAATAGGCAGATGAAACATTTTTTTTGTCCTGAATAAATGAGTACCATACAGAGAGCAGCTAAAGTGCTGATGCAGAAACACAAATCCAGGACTCTGAGAGCAGATGTTTGACCAAGGGTGAGAGCAGCATGATGCTCAGGGCTGCCCTGCTCAGCTCCAGGGCAGCACCATGGGTGCCCAGGCAGGCTTGGGCCTCTCAAACAGGCATCACAGAATGCAGTGTGTTGAATACACCAGTGTCCAAGCCATCCCCAAAAACAAAACAAAATTAAAAAAAAAAAAACAAAAAAAACAAAAAAACAAAAAACAACCCCACAAAAAAAACCAAAGAAAAAAGATGCTTTAAAACCACTTTCTTTCATGGAAGCTGCAGGTACCTGTTGCAGAATTTGAGGGAAAACAGGGATCCTTAGCATCATCAGAGCTTTTAGCTGGGGGAGAGATGCCTCAGAGATCAAGTCCCTCATTTATTTCCCCTGATTACAGATCTCAAGTCTCTCAAGGATCTAGTGCACTTGCCCTACTGCCTCCTGTGCAAGTGCCTTTAGGGCCTACCCAAAAGCAGAAATACTGTCAGCATGTCTTTATTTTAATCAATGCAGCCTATTGACACTATGCTCCGATTGAGCTCAGAGTCCAATCTGCTGACAAGTCTTGGCTATCTTAATCCTATGCAGTCAAATTTTTGTTAGCATTTGCTTGATTTGATGAGGCAATCCTGTGTTACAAGCTTTATCACAGTAACTCATGCTTTTGTGGCTTTTACCCTGGCTATGATCTTTAGGTGGAAAGATACAGGGAGTCCTCTGGCAAACCTGCAGTAGCCCAAAATGCAGCTCTGCTTCTGCACTCCTGAGAGCATCAATTCAAGAGCTGCCTTTGTCTTCTAAGTGCAGTTCAGGATAATGGCATTGATCCACTACATTCTTTATACTTTCAGAAACCAGTAAGTGTCTCTGCTTTTGGCAGAGATGAATATAAAACGAAGGTCTTTGCCATGAAGGGCTTAGTCTAAGTCACAGATGATGGAAGATGAAGGATAGACCTGAAAAAGGAAGAAATGAAGCAGGACAATAGGCAGCAGCACAGTCACACTTAGGCCGTCTCCACAGGAAGAAACTTCTTTTAATTGCCATTTCAAAAGCTTTATTCGCATTTAATAAGGTCTGAGAAAAAATGAAGGACAAGAATTGAGCGAGTGAGAAATCAAAACTACTAAAACGATGAAAATATTTTGAATTTAAACAAACAAAAAAAAAGTAGCTGAGATTCTTGGATGTTTTTAAACAAATACATAATGAATGGGCAGTATTTTCCAAATTCTGCCCTGTATTTTG